TCGCTTATCATCTCATTTTGTATTCCATGGCAGAAAATCAAATAGGGTTGGAAGAAAAAACAAGGGTGAGCAAACTTCCTTAAAAATCACCTCAGTCTTTCCCCAAAACCCCATGTGTGTGTGGATTGGACTCTCTTTAGCCTTTCGCCTCTGTGCAAGTGTTAACGAAAACCAGGTGAAACACGTATGACAGCAGTCAAGGCTAAATCAGATGTTTGTTCCAGACACAAGAGACAGGAGCGAGCACAAAGGTGTTCTTCATTTACCTGCCTGTCGTTAAGAAAAATGGACTGTGCGCCGAGTTATTGCATCGTTTGATCTGTGCATTAAAACATCAATTAGATGTTCTTTTATGTGTTTTATGAGTCTTTGTATTTATGTAAGAATATTCAGCAGTAGACAAAGGTGTCTGATCCATTATTCATCCCTGTGCTGGCAGTTTGATAAGAGGCTGACATTTGAGCTTTTTCTCCAACATCTGCAAAATTATATCCTTTCCATTGTAAGTCAATGAGGGGCAGTCAGTGCCCATTAAAGAATGAAATCTGGCTTGTCACTTTCATAAGGGCGAAAGTATACAACCCTTAACCCTCATGCGGCATAAATGCAAAGGAGACAGAGCTTTTGTCTTTCATCTAAGTGTTGTTCAGTCAAATGGGGTTTAAAACCTGATTTTAAGAATGCTTAAACACAGTATTCTTAGTCAAGCAAGAATATAAAGTAGGCCACGCTACATAATGCGGCATAAATGGAAAGGAGACAGAGCTTTTGTCTTTCATCTAAGTGTTGTTCTGTCAAATGGGGTTTAAAACCTGATTTTAAGAATGCTTAAACAGTATTCTTAGTTAAGCAAGAATATAAAGTAGGCCACGCTACATAATCAACTTTTTAACCTGCGCTTGACATTTAAACATGACTGGGATCAAATCAAGGACTTTGTGTTTGTTCTCATTCATTTTAATATGAAACTAAGCAACTAACTCACAATAGTATATTAGCATGATTTCTGAAGGATCATGTGACAAAACATACAAAACAAACATACGAAGAAAAAAAAGATCAGTTATCAAATTATTCTTGATCAAATGAATGCAGCTTTGGTGAGATTGAGATGTACCAACCCCAAACTTTTGAATGATAGCCTTGTCTTCAATCATTCATTCACATAATACTACATATGTAATGTCATATCTATCCTGACCAGTGTTGGGTAAGTTACTTTAAAAAAGTAATTAATTATTAGCTAATTACATCTTCAACAGTGTAATTAGATTACCGTACTAATTACTCTCTCTAAAAAGTATTATTATTACTATTTTTTATCTACTGTTTTTTTAAATTACAGTAATTAATTAGTAATGCATTTCACCTAACTCTGATCCTGACAAAGGTTGTGACAAACATAATTTCTTACATTATAGACTTGTGTGAATAGAAATTGAAGTGACACTTGCCCTTATATAAGGATACTATGTGTGGAATATCTTCTTTAGCACCATTAAGTCCATGACTCTCTAACAATTAAAATTTGAGATGGCACAGAGCAGCTCAATTAAGTGACATTTAACATTTTCTGTCTCTCTGTACCGTTTTCTTCAGTTCTCTAGGCTTTGTCCTTATGTAAATGTGTCCTAAACGTCAGTCTTTCTCAAAATGTCAAAGTCGCCTCAGTTCTCACACAAAAGAACAACCTGACTTCTTCTGCATGAGCCTCAGCCAGTGATTAAATCTCCCACAATGCCTTGCTGTCCCTGAGGATTGTGAGTCTTTGGAAGAGTTCGGCGCGAGTCATTGTTTGCCATAATAGGGTTGAGGTGCAGGTAGCGATGTTGGAAAACAGATGTGAGGCACACACAAGAGGGTTTGCCACACCTGCACCGCAGCCCCGTGGGTTGAAATATTACTGTGCCAGCATCTCAAACAATACAAACAATGCTAAAAGTACGAGCAATTCAGTGACATTTTCATCATAATTCAGATATTCTTTCATACAACACAATGAAATAAAAGAAACAGCATCAGGCCAGGAATTTAGATTGCCAATGAATATTGATTTTGGTTGGAGTGACTGTTATTTTGTGTCATTACTGAAATTGCTTGATGTGAAAAGAAGGAGAAACATTTGAACACCCATCACATTTCCAGTTAACACTAAGCACAAAAACAGTCCAAAATCCACCCACTTCTCTTGAGTTTCAGCCTGTTTGTTCAGCAGCTTCCATCTGCATCTGTTGCCATCTCAGTCCTGGATTACAAAGACAATGAGAACGAAACAATGGGGGAATGAACGGAAAGAAGGTTTGGCTTGTGCCACGTCTGTACAGGGCAGTGTGTGTAGGGTTTGGGCCAGATTTTATACATGAACAGTTTAAGTTTGTCATGCCACTAGTAATTGACTAACATTATGTTTATTAATCTCCTGATTCAGATTTACATTGAGACAGCAATGTACGGTGGCCGAGAAGTGCAGAACAAATCAATTTTCAATTCTGAAAAAATAAAATGAAATTACAAACGCAAATGCAAGTCTAAAAAACAAAATAACAATTCAGAAAGCACAACAACAATTCAAAAAACATTATAACAAGTCAGAAAACACAATGACAAATTCGAAAACAAAATAACAAGTCAGAAAACACAACGACAAATCCAAAAACAAATTAACAAGTCAGAAAACACAACGACAAATCCAAAAACAAATTAACAAGTCAGAAAACACAATGACAAATCAGACAAACCGGAAGAGGCAGGTATAGTTGGAGACAGCGCCATTGGTTTGGGATTACTCACCGCTGACTGGACGAGATATCTGTCAATCAACGTATACAGGGAAGAAAGTTTGGAGATGGTATTAAAGTAGCTCAGTTTAAATGTATTGTATGAATTGCCCTTACTCTGGAATAAAAAATACAGAGTGTATATTTACATTTAGTTAAAAGTGGCTGTGAAATATCAGCTCCAGTGTCGCAGATGAATAAGCGCTTGCCCTTGGCTTTTTGGCACGATCAACCCGGGTTCGATCCCGCCTTTTTGCCGAACTTTTTTTCCTCCCTTTTCAAATCTCGTATCACATCGTAAAGGCATTTATTTTCAATAAAAATTAAGGAAATAATCAAAAAGTTGAAAGTAAAGTATCGGGTAGGGTTAGGGTAGGTGTAGGGAGGTCTTTATTGTACCAATAAGTTGGCATCCATTTAATAATTTAAATTTAAATTATAATTTACACTCAATACGTTATTATTGCATACTGTTTTATAATGTACTACAATACTGAAGTGCAGATAATTGCCACTATTTGCAACTAGTAGTATACGTGATAGTAGAAATCCTGCTATTTTAACATAGTGTAAATAGGTATTTGCACTTAGTGTAAATAGCATATTGCTAAAAATACTGCTATTTTCACTTAGTGTAAATAGAATCCATTGCTAATACGAGATTTGAAAAGGGAGGGGAAAAAAGCTCGGCAAAAGGCGGGCTTGAACCTGTGTCAATCGCTTCAAAAAGCCAAGGTCAAGCACTTATCCATCTGCGTCACTGGAGCTGATGTTTCACAACCACTTTTTACTAAATGTAAATATACACCCCGTATTTTT